CCCTTCAAGCAATCTTATGCAAGTTCACAGAAGCAATCCAGCCTTGCATTGATCAGTGACTACATAATGTCATTTAAAATGCCCCAAAGTGCTGCCAGTTGTTCATTCTCAAGATGATGGAAAATTGCAAGTACCCTTGCAATCAAATAAAATAGGAAATTTGCTACCCAAAAGCACAGGTGTCCTTGAAGATTTGGCACCATGAAATACCTTTGGTGCAAATGAACACAACTGGTTGTACCCCACCTACTTCAAGGACATGATGCAATATACTGTGATTTCACTGCCCTGCTGTTTATCATAACAGCACACAGCCTTTTCAGATGCAAATTGCACACAAATCACTTCAGTAATTGCAATGTAAAAAGCACTTAAGCCACTCCTGAATTAGCAAGCTCAAGTCCAAACACCACACATCCACGCAGTTCAGCAAAGCCTACAAATCCCAGTGCTGTGGTTCATTTAACCTGAACTTCATAATGCCATATCTGGAGTGCTACAAATACCAGTGTAAGTTAGATACACTATAAATACTAATACACTTGACTACTGCAACTGTTAGAGTAAAATAGTCCTATTAAAGACAGTTAGTTTAGTTGAGCTAATACATGTCTCTGCCAGATTGCTTTTACACTGGTGAATGCAATCTAAACCTAGTTGCTCATCTGTGACACAAGCAATTAGCATTTTTTTTTTACAAAATGATAAATTAAATCACAGTGAAATTAAGTGACTTGCCACATTCACATAACAAATCACAGAGCAATAAATTGGACATCTAAACCCTGACTTTCAAGCCGTTAGTTATCATTTCCTTAACACATATCCTCACAGCATAGGAGGCCTGTAGCGTGAGGATCTTTAACTACCCCATGAACATTTCACTGCTGATGCCAGGTCCTAAGAGCACAATGAAAAAGATGAAATATTGTCCTTTACCATCAGGATAATGTTTAGTGTGTGTAACTGAAGATTCCTGCAAAAGTGCAGCATTAATTCCTTCTCACTGCCTCATGGTGCCCACCACCCCTGTGCAGGCAAAGGGCAGTACCTGTGCTGCTGAGTCTAGGAATACACAGCTGTTTCCAGCATGACAATCAGAGCTCCTGTGATGCCAGTGTCAGAATCTTATTGCTCACTGAAATTTTGATCTTCTTCTCTTTCTTTCTCTCCATATTCTTTGCCACCCGCTGCAGAGATGTTAAAAAATAGTATGAGATCTGATGCAACATAAGTGGGTAGCAGCAGTCTCTCTTGACTCCACAATCTTTCTAGAGCTTGACAACCAACAAGAAAAACACAAATTAGCTCCTCTTTCTTTCTCCTCTTCATAGATAGAGCACAACAACAGAAATTAGCTCATTCCTCAGTCACCACAATATGCTGGAAACACTCACTGAAATCTTGGAAATGCCTTCTCATGGTAAAACTTATATAGATTAAGAAAACACTATGGATACACTAACACTAATATCATCCTATATAAACTTTAAATGCCACTATATTATTGAGGGAAAGTTGCAATCAAACCATTTAGATCTCTCCACTATGCATCTATTATTACCTTTTCAAAGATATAAAGACACACCAAATTTTTCAAAGTACTCTAGCCACCTCTAAACCCCCATAAATCTGGCCACCACCAAAATGCAAGCATTGTTCTCACAATCACCAGACAGAAAGTTAAAAGATGAAGAATGAAAGCAGAAATTTTAGGAAAAAATAGATTTAGAGGTGTAGGAACATAATAATTCAGTTCAGAATACAAAGATGTGCAACTATATGCAAGTGCTCAAAGACGACAAGAGCAAATTTTGTAGCCTGAGGAAGTCAGATGTGTAACTCCACAGGAGCAAAGTGACTGACCAGATGCTTCTGAAAAAACCACCATCACCACCTACAGTTCTGAAATGTGCTTGGCCAGCACAGCTCTGGTCAGCTTGTTTTATGCAGACCAAGCTGCAAATGAACAGGGTTAAATGTACTATTACACCTTCAGTAATAGCACAGGGCCACCATGCTGCTTGGTAACTTCACAAGGCAGAGTGCTATCTTACACCGCACTGGGGACAGCACTTCAAAGTCTGAATTGAAGAAACACCCTTCCAAATCATCAACATCATTTTCTTATTCTACCCAGGTTTTCTTTGTAATTATAACGCCACGGTGTGAATTGACATAAATAATAATGCAGCCGTGAAGATATTGAAGAGAGTGTCAGGAGGAAACAGGAGCACTTCAGTTCTGGCAATTAAGTGCAATATTTGTTACCTGAAATAGCCCAGGGCTGCTCAGTGAAGTGGACCTGTTTGTTCCTACAATATCTCCTTTAGAGAGCCAAGGTGTGCTTCCAGAAACTGAAGCTCCAGGTAACGAGCACAAACAATACAATAACCCATCATAAGGGCAAAATTCTACTCTTGTAATATTGGGCATGGAAAGAGCAGATTGCCCTTGTTCTGCTGCCATTGTACAACTGGGGTGTTTGATTTAGATATCAAAGATATACCCAGCCAAAGCCCCTCTGTTAATTACCCCTCATACTTGAAAAGCTGAAGACTCATATCATTATTGAGGAAAGAAAAAAATCATCACCCCACAACACCCTTGCATTTGTGTTAGGAAGCCTGAGCCATGGCACTGCAAGATCCCCAAGTTTCAACACAGACTAACACAGCATCCCAACGCACCATGTTAAAACAACACACTGCAGCTATTTTCTCTTCCTGCTACAACATATATATTAGCTTCTTCTCTTCCCTGCCATCTGTTAGTTTGCTGCAGTCTGCTGGGACAGGACTGCCCTCTCCTTTTCTCCCCTTCTTGCCTGCTCGAATGGATGACAACAAAGCCAGGCATTTCCTGACCATACACTCAGCTTTTCTCAGCTGCCTCAGAAGCATTTCCAAATGCAGAGTTACGAATGAAAAGTGCTCTGCTCACCTCTGCTGTACCAGTGTGCCCACCAGAATTACATGCTAGACACAGAAACACCTTGTAAGTGGCAGGCAAGGAGGTAACTGCTGCTTTAAGAGGACACACCTTTTAAGGACATACCTTATCCACGGGCATCATTGTTTAAAACAGGTATCTGTACTATCTGCACCACAGGAACTATCAGAGGGAAACCAAGGTAAGCAGCATTGACAATTACTTTCTGCAGCAATCTGCTGCACTTTTCTTAGAAGGGAAGGTAGCAAGGAAAAAAAAACCAGAAAAATCAGGTGAACAGCAATCTACTACTACCATAAACTTCAGTGTAAGATGTGTAGCAAATCACTGTTTTTCCCTCTAATACAGTTCAGAATAGAAAAAACGAACGTCTATCTAATCCATCACACTTGTAGGCAGTTAGGAAGGAAATTGGAATGTTTGTCATCAATTGTTCTATCAGTCAGGTCATTAGAAAAGGAACGGCTCATCTAAAAATAAAGTCAATATTGGCTGAGTCTAAACAGCTTCTTCAGCATTTCACACACATTTCCAAGCAATGAACACTATTATTCTGTGCTTGTAACAATATGCCCCCAAGCCAATAACTGCTCTTCAACATCTGACCTCTTTTTAAAGTAGATTTACAAGGAAGTATAGTGAGAGTGTTCCAAATCAGCTGGTGAGAAAGTATTATAGATCATAACCCCACAGTAAACAATTCCTAGTTCTTCTGATCTGCAAGATTAGAATAAATCTAGCATTACAAAAAATATTAAAAATAAAAAAGGAAACTCATGATATCAAATATACTTCTATTCAAAAATAAAAATAAATCCCACACTAACAGCTCACAAAGCATTTCCTTCAGAAACAAAGAGGAAAAGTAGGTTTCTTTGGGATGGGAAACTACCAATATCTGCTGCAACACACCAACACAAAGGTGAGTTTTACAGTATGAATTTATTGATCAAAGACAGATTTTCCTGCTTTCCAATCCCTATATACTGCCAGCCAGCAAATATAATTCAATCAAGAGCAAATTACGCATATCTTTGATTTCAGGGAAGCATCATGTAGCACACAGGCTACAACAGGGATGTAGTTCTGCCAAGTCCCTTACAGGTCCGCTGAAGGAAGCCCCCGACTCACCTGGGCCGTCCCAGCGAGGGCAGCGGCGGTGCAGACGGGACGCCGAGCTCAGAGCCACAGGCGTGGGCAGCTCCTCGGAGCAACAGCCCCGGCTGCGATTACGTCTGCAGCGTACAAGCGGCAGCGTGCCGTTATTTATACAAAAATCAGCATCTTCCTCAGGAAAAAAAAACCACTCGAAGGTTCTTACTGGCCCTGCAACACGCTCCTATACTTATGCCATCACATTTAGTGACTAAGAAGATGCTTTCAGTGTCACAGGAGATTAAGATTCTGGGAGGAGAGTGCCTGGCAGCTTTACTCTCACACACCAATCTGCCTTCACGCAAACGCACTTTGTCGGCGGATGGAAGTGTATTATTGCAATACGCTAGCGAAACGAAACAGTTTCCAAGTTTTCCCACAGGGCATCAGCTCCCCCTTCAAGCTGCACCCCAGCGCTCGCTCCCCCTCGTCCATCCCCCAAAAGACCTACGGTTTCTGGGCACCACAACTTGTCCTGCGCCCGCACCGAGCTCCGGCTCCCCGTGCGCTGCCCTCGTACCTGCCGGGACACCGCGGGGCGTGGGCACCCCGCGCAGCCGGACAGCGCCCGGACAGCGCCTCCTGCGCCGGGGCCCGAGCCGGGCCCTACCCCCGGACCCCGCGGGAGGGCGAACCGCAGCCGCGCTGCTCTCGGGGTCCGCACGGCCCGGGCAGGGCACGGCCTTCCCCCGGCCGGGCACCACAGACACACACGTACCACACACGCAGAACACACACCTTGCACCTGTCCGCTACTACCGACCGGGAGCGGACTCCCACCCCGTGGGCTCGGGAATCCCGCTGCCAGGGCATAGCCGAGTGACAACCACTCGCCACATAGATGCGGATAAGCAGGAAAAAGACGGCGAGAGAGAGCAGCCCACTTCCATTACCTTAGCAATCGCGTCGCCGCCGTCCCCTGACACCCCTTCGCCTCTCCTCAGAGACGGGGAAGCGCCCGCAGCATGGCGTGAGCCTGCGGGCGGGGCCGGCGGTCAGCCCGGGGCTCCTCTGTGCGCCTCTTCCAAAAACCTCTCGTTCTCCTCAGCGCCCCTCCTGCTGCGGCGAGGACGGCGGCCGGGGCCAATCTGCCGCGACCAGAGCGCCGCGGGCACACCGCGCCCCGCCCGGCCCGGCCCGGCCCCTCGCTGCCGCCCCCGGCCCCTCGCTGCCGCCCCCGACCCTTCACCAAGCCCGCGCCGGGCGGGCGGGGGCGGGATCGGCCCCAGCCCCGGCCCCTGCCCCGGCCCCGGCGCTGCAGCGCTCGCTGCGGGCGGCCCGGGCGCGCCGCCCCCGCCCGGCCCCGACGCCGCTTTCCCCGGTGCCGAGCCGGCCGCCCTTTGGCGGTGGCGTGCGGGAAATTCAGCTCCCGTGTCCCGCCACCCCGGCCGCTCCTCGGGCACTGGGCGCAGCCCTGAAGAAAGGCGTGGAGACGAAGGCAAGCCTTGTATCTCTCTTACAATCTTGTTTATGTGTTGAGTCGCGCAATGAAAGTGTTTGGCTAAAGTCCTCCATCTGAAACCGGGGAAGCCTCATCTCTTGGTCACCTTCCTCCAACAGCCAGGATTCCCTAAATAACACCTGGGCTCTGCACACCACCATCGATCTTAACAGGCACCATAACTCCAGCAAAACAGCTTGGAGACCCAGCCCTTTTACACAGACCTGTCCCATGGGCAAGGCACTGCTGTTGATTAGGATGAATTTCCGCAGATTAACTTCGTGGGCAAAGTAGCTCGCATACTTTTTAGGCTATTATCCACCGATTTTTCCAATAGATGAGCTTTTTGTTCCTTTTTCTCCAGATGGCAAGTTAAGCCCACCTTACCGCAAGCTGAGCCTCAGGTCTGAGAGCCCTGTGCTGGGATGCACTAGGGCAGACCATTGACAGGAGGCAGCCACGCCCATCTGCGTGCCAAAATTTCCAAGGTCTGGTTCCCACGCATCAGACTCATTATTGCTGTTGAAACTCTTCACAATGAGGCTGTCAGCTGCACAGAGGAAAGGCTCCTTTACCCACCCGTGTACCCTGCTTTAAAAGCCCTTGTGTGGTGTCTCTGTTGCCTCAATTTCCTAACATCCTGGATCTTACCAAAGCCAGGTTTATATTTCATAAGCCCTCTGACACCAGAAGTTATCATGTGCAGGGATGTCCTGTTATTTTATGCTGTAGTCTGCCCAGCACAATTTCTGGTGATATCTGGTACACTGAACTGCTGCAGTAATTCAAATATTAAATTAAAAAGAAAAAAATATTTCTGGTTCAGCTGTGCATCCCTTCCATTTTTACTGGATCCATATGTCTATCTTTACCATCACTGGCTTCCTTAGTCCTTACTCATTCCTTAGTCTTGCAAATGCCAGCTTCTACCTTGCAGAGTTTATATGCTTCTTCAAAAAGGCCCTTCATCAACACAGACTATACATTTATTTCCCTGTCACACTCGATATTGCATCTTAGTGGCAAAATTCTGCAGTTATGCCTCACACAAGCTCATTGACCCTGACTAGACTTTACAGGGTGTTGATTCAATTGATTTGTTTCAGATTTCAGCTGTGGGCATTTAAAAGCTTCTGTGGCAGGTTAAAACATTTTGATCTTGGTTGTTTTGTTCAAAGATGTACCTCTCAAACATCACAGCATATTTTTGGGATACTTTTTTGAAATAAAATTAATCTAAAAAATATTGCCCTTTATATCAAGTTTGAATTTAAACTAATATCATTCCCTTTGGATTAAACAAAGCATATTATATATACTTTGCCACACAAAGCTGTCTGGCAAAGGGAGGAAAGAGAGAATGGCAACCTATGAAATAAAGATTTAATTTTTTAGAGATTTTCTCAGCAAAGCATTTTAAATCACGAGTTACATTGAGTTGTGCTGGGGTATGACTACATGTAATATCAACGGGGAAGTATTTCAGTGTCTTATATGACATCTGTTCAGGAAAAACTGTTTGAAGACTACTCTACACAATCTTTTTTCTCACAGCTCCCTCAAAGGAGTGTTTATGCAGTAGCCAACAAATCTAAGTGCTTGAATATATCAGACTACAAGGCAAGTTCTGTAGAAAGGCTGTTTTCAAGGTAGAAGACAGATAGAAATGTATTAACATTATAATTCAAAGAAATTACCAATATATTTTCTGGAAGTATATGCAGCCTAGTACTACCATACTCCAGCAGCCCACGACGTCGACAAAGGAAGCTGAATATGAACATTAAAGCAAAAGTGACATCTATGCTTATTTTAATCATGCTCAGCAGAAGAAAGTGTAACCAAAAAGTACAAATAAAAGGAAAGGCAAATTGGCTTCTCTCAAGTAACAATGATTCTTTGGTCCCTTGAAGTAATAAATGGTATGAAGCAAAATGGCACAGCAACATTCTTTACTTTCATGCATTAACTACTAAAATAAATGATACATAATTAAAACCTGATAAAACTGAGCCAGCTTTGTATTTACATTGATCCTTATGCTGAAAACAATGTAGTCAGACTTGGTTCATCACAGCAACCGTTTCTCAGTTTAGCCTCTTTCCCAGCAGGAGTCCAGCAGTTTGATGAGTATGATTAGAGATGCACAAACAGTTCCGTTTAGATCAGTGGGACATCTCAAGTTGATGGAGAACTATCCACATACAGCAATGTTTGCAGAAAAAGACCTTGCATCTGAAACACTGCTATGCTTAGTAAGCACTGGAGAAGAATGTGTGGGGAGGGACTGTCATGCATTTTTCTGGCCGGGAGTGTAGAGTTTTATTGTTCCCTTTCCTCTGTATTATATGCTGAGATCTGAAAGCCAGAAGAAACCACCATGGTCCACACCAAGCATGGAACACCACCTGTTCTTAATGATACATCATTAAAACTGAAGAACCTAAAACTGAAGAGCTAGAATTTTCTTTTCCCCTAACATTTCCTATTGAAAGTATTTGTTCAGCTTTTCTTTATCCCAGACACTGATTTCAATGACAAAACCACACATTTTATAAAATATTATATCTTCCATTGAAGACTGCAGTGGTATAAAACTTCCCTCATGCCCAGTAATGCTGTCCCAAAGCTGTATTATCCTCATTGCTGTAAAGAGGTCCTTTTATCAGCTTCAGAATGCATAACTTTGAATCCCTGCATATCGTGGCTGACACTAGAGTTACACATGCTCACAGGGCTTCTGCTAACTCTTACTCACAGCTCAACAGTGGGAGTCTCCAGGGTATTCCAGCAGATTCTTTACATGGCAAAGAGTCACAGCACAGCATGTTCCCCTGTGATCATCTGAAAAAAGGAGGAGTAGATATCGCTAACTTTCTGCCAGTAGCATCCTTCTCTCCTGGTGCTTGAAAAGCTCAGAAAGGCAGAAGCTGCTGCAGCTGCAGTGGTTGCAGTGCTCTGAGGTAGGGCCAATGTTTTCCTTTCAGTTTGCAAACCAACAGCATTGTTGATCGAATGAGTAAGTGTTACCCCATAGCACTTACTTCATAAATATTCAGTAGCTGTTAATTACAAGAAAAAATGGAGCTGCTGGCTCGAGGTGAGTGCTGAAACGTCACTAAAGCAGCGCTTTTTCTCATGAAGGCAATAAAGAGGAGTAAGTGTCTCTCTCTGGCAGAGGGCATGAAAAAAGCAAAGAGGTTTTCAGAGTTGTTCAAGGCAGGTTCTATTTTTCATAAAATGTTTAATTTAACAGTGACCTAGTTTTACAACAGCTTTCAGTGTCTTGGCTTTTCTTATCTCCTGTGTCTTAGCCTACATCATTAGAAGAGCAGAGCAATAGGCTTTACAGATTTTGTTAAAGCAAACTTAATAAGGCCTTGCCGGGTGGATTAATTCTTCTCTCCTATTTTGTTTCAGGCAGTCATTATGTTACAGTTTCTTTGTACTTTTAAAGAGGTTTTAGCACATCTTTTACAGATTTTTTTAAAAATTTCAGCTCAAAGCCCTTAGCTTATTTCATGTTACTTTTCTGAGTATCAGACTGCAGAGACACTCTTGAATTCCTCGGCCTTTTTACAAAAAGATCCTTTGTTTTGTAAACATTAACTGTATTAAATTGGTGGCTAGCTTGACTAGCAAATTTGGACATTTACAGGCAGTACAGACTCATGCCAGCTTTCAGCAGGAACAAGTCAAGGCATGCCATTAATTTTACTTACCTTACTTCACCTACCAGAAGAAAAAAGTTATTGTGCATCCTGTTATTGTGACCAATAAACAGCAGGTCAAGTGATGCTTGCTCCCTTTTTCACTGTGTTCTACATTCAATGCTCTCAGATTCTGTTTCATGGTACCCCTCTGTGATTTCTAGGCTGTCTTTATGGAAGTGTGCTTTAAAAACCCCTAAATCTCTATTGTGGGTGCTGTGTTCCATATGGATTCAGCAGAAAAAGGGAGCAATTAGAAAAATGATACTTCAGCCATGCAGCACCAAAATACACTAAGTCTGCTGAATGACATCTCTTCCTTCCACCTCCATCTCAGATATTGCAGGAAATTTTATCCTTTGAGAATCAAGTGTGAGGAGCCTTGCTGTGGTTGAGTCCCTCCTGCATACCCTTTAAGGAAGGGAACACAGTGTAGGAGATGATGCCACATCTGCCAGGTTTATACAAGTGTGAGTGCTTTCTCTACAGGGAGAATTTCCCTGTGGGGATCCCAGCCCACAGAGGTTTCCATTGATCCATGTTAACGTGTTTCACAGAAATTGAATATGTCAGACTGAAAAATGCAAGTAATGTATACTGGCAGTTTCAGAGCCATGACCTAAACAGTATCAAGCACAATGTATACTTCTACACCTACAAGGATCATGCAAGCTAAAAGAACAAAGACAACTTAATAGGAATCATTCAGAGGCAGTGTGTACTGGCCTTGTTGAGCTTCACTTAATTCCTCTCTTTGTGCAAAGGGATTTCAGTTGCCTTTGCAAACGGGAAGTTTGTGCCAGCTCCAATGCTTTTTAAATTTTGAGTGACTTAAAACAAATTTCTTGGTGACTTGTTATCATTGGGGGGAAAAGCCATGGTGGTGAATTTTAGGCATGGAAGAACTTGAATCCCGCATAGGAAAATCACATAACCAAAAGTATTGAGAATTTTTTTTTAATAAAG